ATGGAAAAGAAGTTTTGCACACACTGTTAATACTTATGATGACTAACACATTTACCCATTGAGAAGTAGGAAAGGAAAGATTGAGATGGAAGGTAAAGAGATATTATTAATAGCCCAATGTTATTTTGGTACATAAAACAAGCAAACGATGAAGCCCAGGGAAGAAGTTTTATGACAAGTAGTTGTATCCCAAGTACCATTTTAAAAGGTACATTAAATTTTCTACAGTTCCATATAAATCAAATGTCTGTGTTTACACCTTTATTGAAGCTCTCTATTTTATGAGAAGCAAATAAAAAAATATCAAGGACCTAAAGAAAAATTTTAGAATTCTTTGTGAGAACGTAAAACTCCAAGGATATTTTAAATTATATCATATTAATTTGGGATACTGAATTACGCGGTTATTTTGCCTATCCAAATCTCTCTGCACCTTATTTTGCATGTGGTATTGAATGTCAATAGGCACTTCACGGTCATCCTCTGGAATTTTTGCCTGCCAGAATCTGAAGAAGATACAAAAGATAATGAAGGATGGGAATTGTGGTTAGTGACCTCAATTCCAAAATATTCCTGTTCCATTATTATAAGGCCTCTAGGACATAGACTAGGGGCCAATGAGATGCTACAGTTAGCATTCTTGATCAACAACCTTGAAAATTTTGGCAGACCTTGTTCAAAAAGGGGAGCAAGTGCGAGATAATAGATGCTCTTTCTTTTTAAGATTTATTGATTTATTTATTTTAGAGAGAGAGAGCAAGCACAAGTGAGATGGGCAGAGGGAGAGGGAGAGTGAATCTCAAGCCAACTCTGTGCTGAGCCCAGAGCCTAACGTGCGGCTTGATCCCATGATCCTGAGATCATGACCTGAGCTGAAACCAAGAGTCAGATGCTTAACTGACTATACCACCCAAGTGCCCTGATAATGGATGTTTTCTCTGTTACTGGGAAATTATCTCAGTGTGCATGCCATGCTATGGAAATGTTGGAAAAATCTTTGTCAATTAGGACACTAATGTATTTCCCAGCTAGGTTCCATTTTTATTTTAATTCACCAATAGTCAATCACGAATAGTTATTAGTAGCACACTTTCCAAGAAAGAGAAATTTAGAACAAAGAAAATGGGAAGAAAAATTGATTGTCTTTGGTAATGACATTGTAACCAATACAGCATGGATTTAACCAGGCTTCTTCTTCCTGCCCCCATTTTCTTTCAGTTTTGTTTTACACCAAAAAAAAAAAAAAAAGAAAGAAAGAAAGAAAGAAAGAAAGAGCATGTGTATTTCTATAAAATAGAACTCTATCACAGAAATACATGATTTAATTTAAAAATGTATAGCGTATGAATTAGAATATCCAGAGCCGTCATTTTTTAGTGTTAAAGTTTTCTCAACAGAAAGGTGGCTCATGCAATCACCTAATGGATTGATACCCATGAAGTGATGAGCACAGTGCTGGTATATATTTAGAACACAATAAAAGTTAGCAGTCATTATTACCATTGTTATCTTTTCATCATGGTTATAATCATTATTGTTTAGTGTTCACTGCAAACCTACAGAAGAAAGGAACTGTGTATTGGAAAGGACACATTTGGGTTTTACTTCTGTGGTTTGTACATTGGTACCTTACTGGGTGGGCTGGGAATAAACATAATGCTCATGAAGTCCAGATTAAGTCCTACGTAAACTTGTGATGTGCATGACATTTTTACTTTTGAAAATTTTATATCCAGTGGTGCCTGGGTGGCTCAGTCGGTTGAGCGTTGGACTCTTGATATCTGCTCAGGTTGTGATCTTGGGGTCCTGGGATCAACCCCACTTCCGGCTCCCTGCTGAGTGTGGAGCCTGCTTGAGATTCTTTACCTCTCCCTCTGCCCCTCCCCCGCTCATGCTCTCTATTTAAAAAACAAAAGAAAAGAAAATTTTGTATCCAGTGCCTCTGGTTGGAAAATTTAAGATTCATCTACCCAAGTTCGAGGGTAGATATTTGGCTCTTTCAAATCTCTTTCCCATTTCTCAGCACCGCTTCTTTATTCTGTTCTTTTAGGGTTTTGTTCTCTGTTATACAGGGAGCCCAGGAGACCTCTGAGCAATTTGTCGATGTTTGAATATTAAAAATTGATCATAGATTAAGATAAAAATACCTTTTGGTGTTACAATTTGTAGCTCTAACAAAACTCTAACTTGATCAAAGCCAAGAAGGCTGAACTTAGAATCAAAGCCCAAGGATGCCTCTCTGCCAACTTGTAGCCCTTGTCAACACCCCCATCTTTGTTCTGGGGTTCCTCCAAATTTCTCTCCACATCTTTGGTACCCATCCTTCAATACCCTTCTTCAGCCAGCCCCATCCCTTGGAACTGACACAGACCACATGGGCCCACCTTTATGTGAGTGCTGCTGATGATAAACTTACCTTTCTCTCTAGACTTACTGGTCTGTTGTCAGAGTATCTCTCAGATATTTCAGTGGGATTAATCAGATGAATAAATTTTGAAGTGGAGCATTAGGATTCACAGCAGTTTATCTGGTACTCTTCCTGCAAAACTCCTTTAATAGCTTTCCTTACGTCCCCTGAAACTATGGTAGGAAGGACAGAGGGGAAACTTGGGGAAGTCTAGTTTTTTACCAAGCTCAAATTGTAAATGTCAAGTTCTGCCTCCTTTCCTGTTTTATTTTGCCATGTCTTGTTTTCTAATCTTTCTCCAAGCAGGTAGGTAGGGAATTCATGTGCCCTTTCCCTGCACCCCCATAGAGGGAGGACCATGGCCTACAGAAAGAGGATTTTAATCATATGATGACAGGGTTTTAGAAAGTACTTTGAAGAATATTACCTTGATGTAGCCTCTGTTCAAAACACATTTTCAGGAGATTGAAGTAGAAAAAAATGACTGTTAATATGGCAGAGAGAAAAATACTTGTAGTGTAGGATTAAGAATAGCAGTGTAAAGCAGAGAGTATGTCAAGCTATTTTCCAGTATGTAATTCCTCGAGGAGGATTTGGTTTGGATTTTTAATCTCCATTTCTCCAACACCCATCACAATGTCTGGCTCATGTGAGGCACTCAAGAATTTGAATTATATGTAAAATGGACAGTAGTTACCTAGTGCATTTCCATATAAAAAAGAGGGGGAAATGATTAGGGAAAGGGAGAGAATAATCTAGTAAAGAAATGATTAGTGTTTGAAGGAGGGAAAAGGTAAAGTGGATAGTAAAGAACAAAGAATTAGAAAGTGTGGAAGTAGTATTATTCCCACTAAAAGCTTTTTGCAATAAATATATTTTATAATTGTCTTAAGCAAATGTGCTGTTCAAAAGTAATAATTCCTTAAAAGTAAAATTTCTTTCGAGAATGTTTTACTACCCTAAACACAACCAGCTGATGTAGGTCCAACTTAAGCTCTTATTTTTTTTTTTTTTCAAAAAATACAATGTGCCTACTCAATTGTGTTGAAAATTCTGATGAAATTTACACAGTGCAGAGCAATAACCATTTTTGTACCTGCGAGTTAATAAAACAAACACATAATAACACTCCAGGGAAGAGGAGATACCTTTCTTATGAAACTCTGAGGAGTCATGTATTTGATATCAAGAACCCTTCTTATTCTTTTGAGTAATGGTGCTGGCAGACATTGATATAACTCCCTGGAGCCTATTTCCAAGCCAACACTGTAACTCAGTTGAAGGAATGGGGAGGTGTGTTAAAGCTTTTTAACGCAGGATTGGCATCTCAATAAATCAAGGACTATAAAAGAAAAGAATTAACAAGGAAAAAAAGGAGACTATCCCACCAAGAGGATCACTACTTACCACAATTTAAAATCACTCTCTGTACTACATTATTTACTTCGTGTTTTTCCCTCTTCTAATAATCTCTTAACTTTTCCGTGCTTTTTGTTTCCTACTAAAGAGAAACCATCAGAGGAGCATGTTTTTAAAAAATGAATAAAAACCTGGCGCCTGCATGGCTCAGTCAGTTAAGCATCTGCCTTCGGCTCAGGTCATGATCCCAGGGTCCTGGGATCAAGTCCCACATCGGGCTCCGTGCTCAGCGGGGAGTCTGCTTCTCCCTCTGTCCCTCCGCCCCACTTGTGCTGGCTGTCTCTCTCTCTCTCCCCCAAAAATAAATAAAATCTTAAAAAAATGAATAAAAATCTATGTGTATATATCTGAATAGATATATATAAATATACATATAATACACATATACACAGCTAGACAAATAAATCACTTTGTCTGCTTCCCTAAATAGAAAAGAACCTTTGACTAAGAACCTGATTGAGTTCTGACCAAAGTTATTACCTCAGAGCTTCAACTTTGCTTAACTCAAGTAGCAGTAGTCAAGAAGTATATAAGGTTTACACAACAGCCTTCTCTCTGGTCCACACTGTCCAAAAGGCATGTGGCTTATAGGGTGTAGGCTAATAAACTGGGTCACACCCTGCAGAGAGCACTCTATCTAAAAGTATCACACATACAAAAAGAGCTGATTGTAACCAGACTACCTCTTTTGGGTACTGATCAACAAAACCTTGTAATATACTTAAATTAATTAGTAGCTACGGAGTTGTAGGTGCCAAGAGATTTCCAAAAAGGATCATCTAAAGCAATGGCACTCTTATATCTTTAAATGATATTAACTGTTTTTCAAAAATGTCTCTCCTAAATTCCCACTGTTGGCAGAAATCTACTATCTAGATTAGTCTATTATTAAGACTATTTAGACTAGACTTAAGTGTTACAATCAATGGGTTCTGTGTTTGTACATGTTAGAAGGTTCTCCCAAATATGGGTATGACACATCTTAGATTTTGGAAAGGAAGGAAGTCTAAGAAAAAAGAACAACAGCTAACCATGTTGTCCTGTTCAAGCATGCACATGTTTTATTTAAGTATTCTCCAAAGGTCTATTTTTTTTCCAGCATAATGCAGATATTATGCTATCCTTTGAAATAAGATATATGAATTTCAAACAAAATTGTCAAAAACAATGACCTTGGTTACTCCATATGGTACACAGAAATAATTACATTTCACTTACAATACAGATGCACTTAACACACAGTCATCAATAGTCATTCACCACCAACACAGTATATTTTTAAATCACCTAAAACACCAAAAAGTTTTTTTTTTCTTTTCCAAAAATCTAAAGGAATTAATAGTTTGGGATAAATGATAAGTTGAAAAGGAGACAGAATTGTCAACTGAAATAATCTAACTGCATTTTTTAAAATGTAGTATTAAGAACATGAAAATAGAACTTTTCATTGGGAATCAAAAGACCTAAGTATTCCTGATTGTGGTTTCCTTAGTCTACTTTTTAAAAAGTTTTTTCAACAAATGCCATCAAAGACGTTTCACTATATTTGCTCTAGAAGCATAAAGTGACATGAGGCAGGTGTTAATATAATTGTTAATATTCACACTCCAGGAAGATTAGTAACTTTTTAAAAGACATACTAGGAGTAAAGCCAGTTCTTCCCGAGAGATAGTGGAGTGTATCTTACTTTTATTCAGCAAATGTTTATTAAGATCTACCATGTGCACAGCACTGTTCTAGAAGCTATTCTAGAAATGGGAAGCAAGAATTTCTGGCTTTACTTGAAAATGGTTGAATTAATTCCTTTTTATGATAAATTATGATAAGCATTTTAAAATCTCTATAGTAGAGGGATAATTATTAATTCTTTCCATGTACGGAAGCTAAACGTTATTTCTTACGGTGGTGGTTTGGAATGAACAAAACTTTTCATTTGACATAAAACTTTTTTACACTGTCACGTGCAGACATGTCTGCTGATATATTTTAAAGGTGAAAAGGTATAAAGACTTTTCACTTAAATGTACACAGAGATCAACTTTGCATCCTCAAACTCCTGTCCTCCTGATTTAGTGGAGAAAATTGCTCCTTGCTGTGTACAGGAGCCTTTCTCCGAAGAATTTGTGCGGCCTTCTCCAGTGGCGTAGAGAGCGTGCTTTCATCAAATATTGCTACATAAAGCACTCTAGTTCTTAATCTCTGCATTTCAATTCACATTAGTTATTCTCAAAATGTATTCAAGATCTAAAGTAAAATAAATAATACATCAAGTGATATTCTGGGATCACTGATTTTGTGATATTAATCCCAGCCTACTCTTTGCCTGAAACGCATAGCGATATATCCAGTGTCTGGGCTTTTCCCTAACAGCAAAGAGGTTAGAGATCATTCATAGATGTCAACTCCTTTTTCCTGATTTTTGATAAGGGGATTGATGATAGTAATCTACTTACAAGGTAGTATGTCGGGGAATACAAAAGTAGGAAAGTCATTTGAACTACAAAATGTTAGTCCAGTTGATGACGACAAACCCAATAGAAAGGCGCTGTAGAAGTACAAGAACAGATAATGCACTGTCACGGGGACACAGTGGACCAAAGGATATTACTGAAAAACATTTATGGCACAATAGTTTTGGATTAAAAAGTTACCTAAAACCTGGCCACACCAGAAGTGTTTCTATGAACGTGGCTCTTACTGTGTCTATGAAGATCTGGAAAGTACGACAACAAAAAATCCTGGTTCCTGATACAACAGGTGTACAATGAATTATTGCAGTTGTACCAGTATCTAGGTGCAAGGTAAAACAATAATTAATACTGAACTATCTGAACACTTTAGATTTACTAATGAGCATCCCCATGAGAAATACCGCAGCTCTAAAAGGAGTTTATTGGCCCAGCCCACCATAGAACATGAACAATCAGCTTGTTGTAAGTGCACAGAAATTCCCCCTTTCTACAATTATAGATTATCATGCCTATTCTGAAGACAACATAAGGACACTGAAATCACTGCTTCAAAGAATTCTAGCATGCATTATGATGGTTTCCTTCAGTCAATACAAATGTGTCGTAGGAGTTTTTTTTTTTTTTTAACACGTAATAATCTTCATCATAGCCAATGTTCATGGTTTTAACAGGAAAAATTTTTATCAAAATGTTTTCCATATTTTTTTGTTTTGCATTCAACTGGAACATTATGTTCAAAGATTTGTTTTATTTATTTTATTAAAAAAGAGTTCAGATCATAAGAAGCATCGATAGGCGGCATTTCATTGTGCTCATTCACAAAGTCAAAGGGTCACAGACTCTTCCTCTGTATAACAGGTCAACTTTGTCTAGAAATGCCATTTGGTGGTTTTATTTCCATCCTCAGGTTTGGAAGCTTTGTTTTTTATTTCACTGCCAACCTTCTTGCTTTGCTGTTTTCATCTGCAAAAGGTTTATTTATTTCTTCTTTCTTCCACATTGGAATTCTTTCCACAGCCAGAGCTCAGATTTTCTTAGACCTGGTTCCAATTGTCTTACAAAGCAGACACTCTGACAATATTGCCTCCTGAGTACTCCGGAGATTCTGGCCTGTCGTCTCCTTCAGGGGTGGTCACTGGAGGTGTTGGGATGCTTATTATTGCTGTGGTCACATAAGGTTGTTCACAGTTTAGTTTAACACATTCTTCCATTTTGGCATTTAAACTGGATCGGCTGGTGAGGAAGAAATAGATTTTAAAAAGTAAGTTGTTGACTGAAACAATGTTTTCCCTACAACTGAAGGATGTGTTTTCATGTCTATCAGTAACATGTTAAATATCCGAGACCAGTCACCATGATTTTTTAAAAATGAAGTACCAAACCTAATAATATATGTCAAAATGAACATTAGCCAGGTCATTAATGTTAACTAAGTGTCTAAGAGCCAGATCAATTTGGTTCAATCAGTGTTTCTCAAAGTGTTTTCTACAAAAATGCAAGAAAGGGAATCGGGTCAGTTTTAGAAAGCCCGGGTTGGGCAAAGTAAAATCAGGACCTCTGAGAGGTTTGAGATGCTCATATGGAAGAGATGCACCTCAATGCTCTGTGAATGTGTTTCAGTTTTTGTCACCTCAGAGTCATTTTACTATCTTGTCTCTTGGGGAAAGATGATGCCCTTAAAGCTCTTAAAGCCAATTTTAAGAACCTCTAAAAAGTTAGCCATTACCGACAATTCCAGATTTTCCCAAGTGGTATTCTTGCGTGAGTTTTATACTCCATGTGGAGGGAGGTCAAAGGGGAGAGGAACAAGGAGGGTATACACAGGATGCTAATTACTTAAATCTAATTACCTTATTTTCATGGAAATCTTATTTAAGATGTTTTTGTCTTAAAATTTTCATTCTGAACAATTCTCTGCTTTCTACTTAATTTTGGAATGGATGTAAAACAATGCAGAGGTAGAATATCTTAGAGACAGAAACCTTTCATTGTTCCAAAATTTAATATTCTGGTCCCAGAGACATCTGATTTATGTAAATCAACATAGCCTGAATTCAGAATGTCATCCAGGTTTTTCACAAAGATTGCTGAATGAGAACAAAGGAGTAGCACTGAATTAATGGATTGTTAATATAAAAACATAGCTATTTAATTTGAAGAACAAAGCAAAATTATGTTGGCAGAAATTGATCGTTTTATTGAGTTGTATAGTTTAAATGGATTCCTTTTTATTACACATACATGTTTGTGGTAAAAACAAATAGCAAAGAAAGAGAAGCAAAGGCAAATGGCAACAAAAATTTCACTTCAGTTGTCCATGAATGAACCAGACGTGAACAATTTTAGCATTTCACTTATCTTTTTTTGTATTGGATTGATTTTTGTGTTTGCTGTGGGCCAAAATATCTTTGTGATCAAAATTATATATTGATTCGGGCGCCTGGGTGGCTCAGTTGGTTGAGCGACTGCCTTCGGCTCAGGTCATGATCCTGGAGTTCCGGGATCGAGTCCCACATCGGGCTCCCTGCTCGGCAGGGAGTCTCCTTCTCCCTCTGACCCTCCCCCCTCTCATGCTCTCTCTCTCTCATTCTCTGTCTCGCAAATAAATAAAAAATCTAAAAAAAAAAAAAAATTATATATTGATTCAAGAGATTTGTGTAGGCATGGTTTTGTTTTTCACTCTTACATTGAAGGTGTTGATGTATTGTTAGGCGCTGCTGAGTACTTTCCAATGGTATCAATGTCAATTTAATTTGTCTCCGTTAGTAGTGTTGACTATCTATCACTTCAGGCTCCTTGCATTTACACAGGGGGCTCCTGAATATAAAGCTGTCTGCTCAGATAGGAAAAAGTGGTGGAGTGAAAGGGGCAGAAGCACAGTTGTGCATGCCTGACCATCTTGGCTTCTTTCTACAGGTCGTGCTATACAACAGCTACTCCTGACTCCGGGAGTATCATAGCGGATCCATTTCCCTACCTGTTACGTGGTATTGGTCTTGCCACATTCTAAACCCTAGGATTTAGATGCCGCGGTGCTTCTAAGGTGTATTAGTTAAAAATAAACGAATAAATAAAAAGTACTCCCCGCCCCCCGCCCCTCCCCTTGCCGCACCCCAAATCGCCAAATACACCAAGGCAGCAACGTGCGTGCGGGTGCAGCTACGCCCTGGGACGGAGCCCAGGTGTGTGTACGCACACACGTTCCCCTGGGGTACCTGTTAGACAGCGGGGTTCTCTCCACACATCTGATCTGGATCGTACTGAGTTCTTGCACACTGCCCCGGTGGCTTCCGGCCACGTTGGCATTTGGGATGCGGAAGGTTTTTTTGTGTCGTCGTGAACAGCAAGTGCTGGTGACTCCTTGCGAAGAGAGAGAGGGGCTGTGGCTTGAAGGCCGGGTTCCGCTCGCAACCTCCATGCAGCTCTCCTCGAAGACCTGCTCGTCCACAAACTCGTGATTCTGCTCCGCAGCGGTGAGAACGCGAGGAGGGGGCACAGAAAGGCATTTTGACGTTACGAAAGGAGACGAATGGCTTTACTTTGAAAAACTCAAACATGCCCGTACACTGAGACGAGCCAAGGGGCAGCGAGGGCCATTTTCATAAAGCCTGGAATATCGAAGCCACCTTCGGTATTTGTGCGAAAGGAAAATCTCCCTAGTCAGCCCTCGAGGTGGACACCTGCAGGCTGATTTAGGATGCATCTCTTCACGGACTAACTTTGTCTTGAAACACCACGTGTTAACTGAAACACCATTTCCGGGAAGGAAAAAGAAAACTCGTGAAAACGCATATAAGACAGTGCTGCTCACGGTGAATGTGTCAATTCACACGGACTTTTCTTTTTTAAACAGACTGGATTATGGAAGAGAGACTATTTTAATAGAATGCCCCAAATTAGATAGTCTGTTGTATATTAGCAAATATTTTCATGTGGGATTGAAACCATCTTTTAATTAGAAAATGGGATCCCGAAGATACTTTCTAATTCTTTAGAGGCTCCTCTAAAATTCCCAGTGTACAGACAAGTGACTTATTAGTTAAATAGGTAAAAATACTGCAAAATGTGCCACTTTGTGTTTGATCCAGAAGGGGTTAGCACTGAACTCGGAGGTCTCCCTTATCTTCATGATACATCACCACCTCTGCCTCTATTCAGAGTTCTCCTAGCCAAGAGGCACACAGTGATGGGCATCATTTCATATGCCACATTTTAGAAAAACCACAGTGCAAATTTTGCTTTTGGGATATTTAATAAAGAATCACTTCCTAAAATGCCTATATAAGAATTTCACCTCATAACTGTAAGGGAAAACATTTTGGTCTGAACTGCAGGAGAGCGACTTCAATTACTATTTTTTTTCTTTGCGTAGGTGGGAATAATCTTGTAATGGAAGGCTTTGCACATGCCAAATTCCACGTAACCATCTCTCATCCTACAATATTAGTGAAACAATGGAAACAATTCACTGGCCAACAGCAAAAATGTATTGTTTTCGTTACTCATTTTGTTATTTCCTTGCTGAGACAAGCATTTTGAAGTAAATGAAATTTAAGATTCCACTGTTTAAAGTCCAGAGAATAATATGACCAGATAAGACAGAGTTTCATTAAGAAATGAATTTCAATATCAAGTCTTATGGAAAAAATATAGCCCACAAAGGATTCACAATCTGTTTTCTTCTTTTACAATGCACATTTCACACACATAATACAAGTATATAATGCATGAGATTCTAATTTATCACATCAGTGACTGGAAGTGAAGAAGTCTTTCCGCTGCTGGTTATTTCTGTAGGTAGTTTAATTTAAACAGTAATAACTGGTGTTAAATAATTTTTTATTTAAGAGGTAAAATAGTAAAAATAGAAGGTAAAATAGTAAAAAATGAAAATAAAAAAGCATGGAGATAAATACACCTGACTGTTAATGTTACCGTTTACCTCTCAAAGAGTTATCCTAAGCTATAGACCTTATCCTGTAAGTTATGGATCGTTAGTTACAAATGCAAATATAATCATGTAACTACCCTGTTAAAAGCCCTCAAATAACTTTCCATTTATTATGAGATAAAGATCAAAATTCTTCACATGCTTTCAAAGGCTAGCCATTATCTAGACTTCCCCTGTCTCCTCCTGGGTCACTCTACTCCCTGTCTTCTGATCACCCTCAAGTTCTTTCAGTTCCTCTGGGGCCAAGTTCTAGCCTTTCTCTGGTGCCCACATCACCTTTTAGCCCCTTCATTTCTTTGTCAAATAGCTCCTAGTCATCCTGCAAGCTCCTCCAGGAAACCTTGTCTGATCCTGTCTCCTCATGGCTCCACCTTCTTTGTGTCACTGCACTGTGGCCCCATTTTTCCTTCTGCGCTCATGACCCTTCTCCAGGAACATCGGTGTTTTGGCCCATCCGTGGAGGCTTGATGGGGGCAGAGACCACACCTGACTTCATGGCGTCTCCAGGGTCTGGCTCACTGTCTACCACGTAGTAGGCAAGCAATACAAATTTGTTGAATGACTACATAGGTAAATGAAAAAAATGCACGGGTGATATGTTGGAATTGAGAATACAAGGATGTACCTCTGGGGAGTGAGTGAGCAGAACTGATTCCAATACGGTGAAAAGTTTTGTTCTGCTTTGTGGTCAAAGACTGTGGCCCCTTTTGACAAGCCAGCTAGGGAATGGGTGCCTTTGCTAAAGTAGAGATCTGATTGAGAGCTTCTAAACAGAGAAATGCAGACTCAAGCCTCAGCTCCAAGGGGCTTGCCAGGGATGATATGTGTCATTTTTCCTATGGGAACACAGTTTTTTATTACCTATCTTATTCATTACAACCTGTTAATGAAAGAAAAGCTTATATTCAGTTAGTCTCTATTTTTTTGTTACTGCTATTGGTATTCCTTTTATCTCGATGTCAGGAACACTTGAACTACATTGGTTTTCGTTTAATCAGCATTTTCATAATCAGGGGAAAAATGATATTTTGGAGGACCTGCAGTCACCTCTTGGGAAACAACTTTTCATCCGCATTAAACTGACATTTCAGACTAAAGTTAAGATAACCACTAAAGATAAAAACACTTTAGATAATTCTCTAAAATACTTTCCAAGTTGAAACGTCACTCTAGTATTTCAAAGCAATTTCAAATATCCGTGGTTTTTTTTTTTTTTTTTTTCATTTTTAGTATATTTTCCAGTAATGTAGACAGTGAAATCATACTTGGGAGCATTAAGAATTCACAAAAGCAAACGGGATTACTTCCTCAGTACAGGGGCGGACAGTCGTGCCTTTTCCTTACCGTGGTTTTTTCCAGACAGTGAAGCAGGTGGTGGTGCTGGGTTTCAAAGCTGGAGCCGGATTTGCTAACAAAGGCCTGCTCATCCTCTGAGGACTGTTAACACACAGAAGACAGAAGTGCTTTCTATTTTATTTGCAAACAATGAGAACCTCAGCTACACATTTCCACAGAGAGATCTAGCCTATTTCCTGAGATTAAATGGTAGCATTTTAATTTTTTTTTTTTTTAACTAAAAAGGGACAAATGTGCAGTTGCTTTTAATTTTGGTAATCAGCCTTTATGTTCCTGTCACATTAGCGGTCTGGCCTTTTAGACTTGCCTCTCTGAATTGAAAATTTAAATAGTTTTTCCTCATTCATCTCCCGACTACCTTTGAAAGCCTGGGAGCTATATTTTTTGGATAATAAAATTTAATCTCGTACTTAGGTAATCCTGAAACCATGATCATGCTCCCCTACATAAAAGCCATTTTGATGGCACGATGACTGGAATCCTAAATATTAAAGGACAGTTTTGAGGTAAAAGCTACTGTTTCTCTAGTATTTCATACCGTGTGAGCTTTATAACCCTGAATGGTGTTCCCTCTCCATAAAGAAGTAAGACATCTTAATCCACTCAAACCAATTTTAAAGAACACAAATAATTTTGAAACAAAAATAGGTATTTGAGTTGAGAATTTCTGACCTTTCCCTTGTGTACATAACATAGTAAAGAAGTACTGCCCGATCCCGAGTGGGAGTCGTGAATCACTGGCAACATTTCATAGCCCGAGTCCTAACCTGCTGCAACCGACCGGCAAGACCGTAGAGCGCAGGGCTATTTAAAGACGACGCTTCTGTTGTCTGAGTAGCCACTGTCCTAATTACCCACAATAAAATGATACGGTTAAATAGAAGTAAGTCAATATTACACTGATCAATCGAACATTAAAAAAAGGGAGACGCCTGACCGTACCTGCAGCTGGTTACTGAGTAAGCCATTCCGTTTGCTCTGCATGTAAGCGTTGGCGCTTCCAGTTTTGGCTGCTCGGATCCTGGCCAGTCTGGCTTTCTAGAAGCAAGAGGAAAAATAAATGCTGTGTTAATACTTAAGAATTGTTTTCTACAAACAGTGAATGCACTCTTGTGTCATGCTAATGTCAGTGTACACAGGTTTTTTTTTTTTTAAGATTTTATTTATTTATTTGACAGAGAGAGACACAGCGAGAGAGGGAACACAAGCAGGGGGAGTGGGAGAGGGAGGAGCAGGCTCCCAGCTGAGCAGGGAGCCCGATGCGGGGCTCGATCCCAGGACCCCGGGATCATGACCTGAGCCGAAGGCAGTCGCTTAACCAACTGAGCCACCCAGGCGCCCCTCAGTGTACACAGTTTTTAAAGTATGCTAGCTTTCACATGGAATTACTGAAAATTACATTTTCACCATTGCAGTACTTTATTTTCCTTAACTTCTTCAGTAGGATCCATTAACTACTTTGGAGTTGGGTTCCGCACTTAAGACTTGTAATTAAGTCGTTAGAGTGAGATCAAGTTATTTCATTATTGTTTCTGTCAATTGTGTTAGGAGAAAAATGGCAGCATTCCTTTATTATTTATATTTTCACTTATCCCAATCTGAGTAATTTAATGAAATGAAGACTTAGCAAACCAGCTTCCAAATCATTTTCATTTAAACTAATGTCCTTTTAAAAATAGCAAATACATTCCAGGAACCAATTGCCTGCTTCCCTCCTTCTTTCCTTCCTGCCTTTTAAAAGGTTTAAAAAACAAACAAACAAACAAAAAACCCTGTACTCTCAAATATCAATTTATTGTTTGCAATTATTTTGTTAAATGGGGCAATGTAGACCCCATGCCGAATAACATGGAGTCTCAAAAAAAAAAAAAAATCCTTAATTTATTCACTTTTTCTACTGACACTGGTGCATACTAGGAGCATGCTTACCTGATTTCTACTTTTTTAAATATTTTATTTATTTGTTTATTTGACAGAGAGAGACACAGCGAGAGAGGGAACACAAGCAGGGGGAGTGGGAGACGGAGAAGCAGGCTTCCCGCGGAGCAGGGAGCCCGATGCGGGGCTCGATCCCAGGACCCTGGGATCATGACCTGAGCCGAAGGCAGATGCTTAACGACTGAGCCACCCGGGTGCCCCTGATTTCTAGTTCTTTCTTGAATTGTTGAAATGAGAGCATAGTGAGCCACTCCAAGGAGATTTATAACA